CGGGACTCAGTACCTTGGTCTGGTGGTCTGGTTGTCCTCTGCATCTTTGTAGTGTGGAACCAGGTGGCTGCCTGTCTGCAGAGGGGTGATTCGGTGTCTTCCGCACAACTGGGGACCTCGGTAGGGCATGCACAGACCTGCCTGTCTGCAGCGGGCTGATTCGGCATGTTCTGTGCAACTCAGGACCTCGGTAGGTCGTGCACAGAGCTGCCTCTCATCTATGGTTTTGTAGAAGCCCTATGGCAGACAGTGAAAAATGTTGTGAGTTGCTGACTTTTGAAGGAGTTGCAGCCTGCCAGAAATTGTCTTCCACAGTTGTGTGAGGGTAAGCAATTGTAGGCAGGGCATTAGAAGCATCTGATAGATATATAATAGTTGGTCATGTTTTGAAATGTGGACTAAAAAGCATTTATTCACAATGAAACCACTGTTTAGTATCATGGATTGTATGGGAATAAATTTTTTATCAGAGAACTGGAAGAGTTTGGGGGGAAAATGTAGTTGCTACTCTCCCTTCTCCTTATTCTTCCCAACCAAAACTCTTAATTATCCAGCAGTTTTTTTTTTTTATAAGAAATCCAGATGGAGCAGGCATGTTGGCACATTCCTGTAATCCCAGCACCCTGTGATACTGAGGCAGGAGGATTGAAAATTCAAGCCCAGCCTGGGCAATTTAGTTACATAGTGAGACCCTCTCTCAAAATGAAGAATAGAAAGGCTGGTGATGTATGTTTGTGTGAAGGCCCTGGCTAAATCCTTGGTGCCACAAACAAAAACAAAAACAAAAACAAAAGGAAAATCCCAGAGCCAGGCATGATAATACACACCTACAATCCCTGTACTGCAGGAGTGAAAGTTCTGGGCCAGCCTGGACTATATAGCAAGATTGAGGCCAGCCTTAATTACATAAGTGATAAGATTCTGTCTGAAGAAACAAAGACAAAACCCACCAACCAAACAACAACAAAAAGGAAACCCACAGAGGAGATTTTAATCAAGTTCATCAGTATTTAAGATATGTGAGCAAATATATTCATTCATTTAGTTACTATTTAATATTGGAAATTTGAAAATATAAACTTAATTTATGAAAGCATGAAGTCATTCATAAGGCCTTTTTATAGGTGTTTTATATGGGATAAGAGATTTTATAAAACACTTTTGATGAGATTTTGCCCTTACTTATTGCTTCTTTGTGTCTTTTAGATACCATTTCCAGAGTTATTACTGCTTTTACTACATAACTCTATGCCTTAGCTGTGGTTTCTTTGTATTTTGTAAGGGAATAAAGAGAAAATATCAATACAGTCTCAAGCTACATCCAACTACATCCGAAAAACCCCACCTATAGCACATGAGGCTTTGGGGAAGATATCTAGATATAAGCAGTAACACCAGCATTATGTAAAGAATGCCTACGTCAAACTTTTCACCTCTGGAGATACCAATGTTAGCAAAGTACAGTCTCAGCCAGACTCAGTTCCTAAATATATGTACCATTTATCTGGAATCTGGATTGTTTTCCAGTACTAGAATTGAATCCAGGGAGTGCTAAACTACATCCCCAAACCTTTTTTATTATTTTATTTTGAGATAGGATCTTGCTGGGTTGCTCAGACTGGCCTCAAACTTGTAATCCTTCTGTCTCAGCTTCCCAAATTGCTGAGATTACAGGCATATGCTACTACATATGGAATCTGGAATTTTAGTCCCAGTTCTCAAGTGCCTGAGAGGCACTTGACTAGAGTTCTAATTCCCTGCCCAATCTTGCCAGTTTCCAGCTGAACCATCTGAAATAGCATCACTATAATTTAACACACAGTAACATTGCTGGAAGGAGACTCCTACTGCAGTGTCCCATTCACAAGATAGTTGATTTTTAGAAATTGAAATTGGTTCTAATTAAATACAAGTTTGTTATATCCTCTGAACCCCCAACCTACTTTGATTGGGCTGCTTTCCAGGAATCTTGGGAGTTCAGCCCCATCATGAGGTGAATTTTTCTAGCTTTACTCTTGCTTGGTCCCTTATTGTTACTTGGTTCCTTCTCTTTCTTGTACTTGCTCACTGCTAAAATTGATGTGCATGGGCCGGGGATTTAGCTCAGTGGTTCCACCGCCTGCTGTGCAAGCTCAAGGACCCGAGTTCAATCCCCGTACCTGTCCCCCCCGCCAAAAAAATTGATGTGCAGACTGCCTAAATTGCAGTATGAACTGTAAACCATTTACTAGTAGTTAACATGATTAAAAATATTTATTGAAGACTCAACTATGTGTAGCTCAAATGCCTTTGACTCAGATTCTGGTTTATGAAATAAGGCCACATCTCCTTTTAAAATAAGGTCACATTCTAAAGCATAAGTAAGTCTAGACTAAGTGCTGGAAACTAGCTCCTTAAAGTGTTTCTTCTGAGTCATCCCCAGAGCTCTCTCAGTGGTGCTCAGGAAGAGGTCCAACATATTCTTCTGCTGTTATTTGCTCTTGGGCTCCAGGTCATTATTTCATTTCAGCCAGGACATGGATCCTTCCATGAATTTTCCACAGCATATTGTAACTAGAGTTCACAGAAAGAGGGAGAATATAGGCAACACAGATGCACTCTCAAACCACAGGACTTCAGAGAGAAAAAGGATGTTCCCCTCTTTTAGGCTAAAAGCATTCTCATCCCAACATAAATAAATTCTTTCTTTAGAATAAATAGCAATGGAGATATCTGTTCTCTTTAGGAGAAACTTCATTTCCTGATCAGTTGTGGTGTTGTCCTGTGGGTACTTTCCCCATCTCCTTTTCTCCAGGAAATTGCATAGTTGTCAGCACATTTCCTACTCTGATTGTGCTCTTAACATCATGTTTGAGACTTCAATGATCCATTCCAGTTTGTGCTATGTCAGTCCTGTTAGTGCTTTTCTTTCTCCCTTCCCCCATCCCCTCCTTCTCTTACTCTTTCTCCCTTTCCATTTCAGCTTTGAGGCTTTTGTAAACATGCAGTGGTTTTTAAGTCCCCTTTCTCTCTTTCTCCCTTGGGACAGTTTTGGTTGTCACAGTAGTTTAAGGGTACACCTGAGGGTTGGCCTGGGGTTGTTAAAGGAAAAATTATTAAATGATACTTGTTAAGGAATGCTAAAGAAAACTGTATTTCAGATTGTTGCTATAGATATACAGAGACTACCTATAGTTGGGGAGAGAGATTGGGCTAAACTACTGTAGCAAAGGCAAGTGGGAATTTATAGTCAAGTCAGCAAAGTTGGAATCAGTGGGTGGAAAATTACCAAGAGTAAGCATCAGAGATAAGGGGGATTCTGGCTAAGGCAACTTAGCACAATTCTTGCTGAAGATACCTGGGGTATGGTGGAGAATGTGGAACCTGATCAGATGAGGAATTTGATCAGATATTTTGTGTGTGTTTGTCTGTGTGTGTGTGTGTGTGTGTGTGTGGTCTTGATAAAACAGGGTCCTTTGCTGAAACTGGATTTTACAAGCAAGTGCACAGATAGGCCTAGGAAAAGGTTTAGAAATTTGAATAGTTTGACCAAAAAGTCTGTGTCATGCCGGAGAACTTAAAGCATTTGATATGTATGGAACTCTGCTTTATAATTAAGAATTGTCTCACATCACATGCAACTTTAATTATCTTGGTGGACATTCATGTATGCCTTTTTATAAATTTCAAAGTCTAGGAACTAACTCATTTTACTTATAAACACAGATTTTTTTTTTGCCCAGTTTTAATATAACCTGAATTTCTAGGAATAGAGCCATTTGAGTATATCAAAGGAATATTATTTTTATCTTGTTCTATATTGTATTGAACTAAGGGAGTTAACCAGAACCAAAGAAAGTGGGGAATGAAATAAGCAAGTTAACCAGAAATCCCCCAATAGCCTGTGCCTGAACTTTACCCTTTTTCCTCCCCAAATTGCTTGTTTAAAGTGATAAATGAATCAGCACATAACTTACCTTGTGGTTAAGAACAAAGGATAGGACATATCTTGTCTTGTGGTTGGGAACAAAGGACAGGACATGTTATACTGTAGCCCTAACTGTAAAGATAGGAATTTCCTGGTGGATCTCAAAAATTGGATTTTAATTTAACTTGTAATCTGCTTCTGTACTCCTGTGCTTGCTCAAAGATGAGATTATGATATTCTATTGTGTGGTTTTTCCCTTTAAAAACTGGATTTCTCTGCTTGATCTTTACCAAGGAAAATGGGAGTGTGAGGTCATTCTTGCTCATCGATTAATTAAAAGATTCTTTTAATTTGGACATTTTCATGGTGTGGTCTTTTTCACTGGGACAGCCATAACAGTATTGAGAGTTGTTCACCATTTCAGAAAAATTATATCACTAGTATAGTGCTGGTTATGGTATTTGAATTGACAATAAATGCATCTTACATTTATTATACCTGATTCTATGCCTAAGGGGGAAAAGTGACTGTTTTATGTCTTATATCATAAGTGGGTCTGATCATTTGCAAAATGAAAGTTATGTATATACATATATATAAAATATGTATATATAACATGTTTTAATGACTCAGCATAGATATTCAGTATGTAGTTAGTAACTATCATTTTCATTTCAGGATGTTAAAAAAGATCATTGGAAAATATTTATTTTATAAAAAAGGTGTAAATTCTGGTGTGTTAGAGGACCAGGTAAGTACATATAGGGAAAAAATAGTTTTCTTTAAGAAACAATAAAACTCTGCAGAGATGTAGCTCACACAATTTCTCTGCTTGACACAACTACAGTCATTTTCTTCATCACATTTAGATAGTCTTGCTTTACATTTGCACAACTAGAAAATCTATTCTCTTTGTTTCCTTAAAAAAAAAGATAAGTCTTGAAATTAGCATCACAAGACATGACAATTTCTTTAATACTTAGAAGCTATATCAAAAATTAAGTATGCTAATTCTATAGTAGTATTCTACATTCCTGTTTATGCAATTTGAAATAAGAAGCTTCAATGACAGTAAATGTTAATTTCATTCTAGGTGTTCTGTGTCTCTGGAAATGATTGTGATTTTCAAAGCTACATGAGCAAGTTGGATTTTGAACCATCAATAAAGATGCTGTGGTTTATTAATATATTCAAGGTATTGATAGGGTGGTTAATTAATAAAAATATCTTTTAGAGGGTGTGTGCTGGGAATTTTCATTTGCAAGTTGAAAAAGAAATAACAAAGTAATCAATAAGAACAGATATGATTGACTATAATTATGTGCTTGTTAAGGTTATTGACTAACAGCAAGAAGGGTTGCCAAAGTTAAGGCATAGCACCTTGAGAAAATTAAATGAGAAAAATTAATGAAAAAACATTCATTTTATCCTTTCTGTCATCACCAGGACAATAAAGTTAATGAATCAACTTCAGTAGTTTGTTCTGAAACAGTTAAATTGAAATGTAAACATTTAAGTACTATAAGCACTATGACTAGCATTTAAATGCTATACTTAGATTTACATGAAATAAAATAAAGGAAGAGGAAGAAGTTAAGTAGTAAATATAATCACAACAAGCACGGCAAAGATGTAGTTTGTACCAGGGTAGTAACTGTAAATGGATGGAGATAAGGCATAGATTTGAAGAATATTGGACAAATAAAATTAATAGAACATTGCTCTCTTATGATGCTGATAGCTTTTGCTTCTGCGTCGGTGCAAATGTACCTTCCTCTAGGAAATTTTCTTGGATTACCCCTTCCTCCTAGAGCTCTCCCTTCCTGCTTTGAATTCCAATTAAGTCCTGGTGATTTACTGTGTATTATAGTTAATTTGCATATGTCATGCAGTTGTGGACAATGCTACTACTTCTAGCTTTAATTCCAGTAGTGAAGACAGAACAAAGAAACAAAAAACTATGTCAATTTATGATAAGTCACTGGAGACAGGGGGCAGTGAGGTAGAGTAATCAGGAAATAGCTGTCTGAGTAGGTGAAGGATTACATCAAGAATGATAATGAGCCAGACACGTAAATAATTGGGAACAAGCCGTTTTAGGCAGAGGAATAGCAAGTGCAGTTGCCCTTAGGAAATACTATTGGTACTTTATGACTGGAAAGTATAACTGTAGTCAATGAATTAGAAGGGAGAGTATTGGAAGTCAAGGTGGGAGAGGTTGACAGTTGCCAGATCATACAGAACCTTGTAGATTTGGTAAAGAAGTTTTTAAATTTTTTATTTGTTTCTGCTGTGAATAATAGGAAACCATTGGATGATTTTAAGTAGGAGAATAACATGAGCTAAAGAATTTTTAAAAAATTTAATTTGTCTCTGCTATGAGCAATAGAAAGCCATTGGATAATTTTAAGCAGGAGAATAACATGAGCTAAGCTGTGCTCATGGATTGCAAATTTTGGAATACTATAGTTGGGCAGAGGAGATAGAGACAAATGAACATATTAATGATAAATTTTGAAAGGAATTGATGGGAATTCTTGGTGGCAATAAAGGAAAAGAATAAAGGTTGACTCCTAGGTTTTTGTTTAAGTAGTTGGGCCATGGCACCAGTTCGTGTTCTGGAATATGATGGATGGAGGGAAATAGGTTTGAGAGGCAAAAATCAAGAGCTTTTTTGGGGAACATATTCAATTAGAAATATATATTGGCTATCCAAATGGAGAAGATAGTTGGATGTATGCATTGGGGGTCATGAGGGAGGTCTGGTTCAGAGTACAAACTTGAGAAGCAGCATATGGGCCAGTTACTCAACTGATTTATTGAATGAACTTGTTTGATTGTTCTAGGTGCTGCATTTCATTTTGCTCTATTATATCTTCCTTTCTTATTTTCTAATAATACAGTGGATAGGTTGCTGCCATTTTCATTTCTTTAAAGGCCTTCTTAGTCCAGACTAACATTGTGAATTTATCTCAATTTGGCTCTCATCTCTCTTTCACCCAACACTGACCAGATGTCATCTTGAAGGACTTGGAATGCGAAGGGGCAAGACCACTTCTGCTCTGGTATCTTCAAGAGGAGAGGAAACAGATGACCTTGATACCTTAACTTTTCAGGTCTTCTAACTTTTTCTCTAGTGTTGGGGCTAGGAGAGGGAATAAAGAGAGGAGAGGATTCAGCTCTTTTCTTAACTTCCTTTTAGTAAGCCCTGAGTGAGGCATCTGTTCTCATATACTAGAAATTCCTTAGCATGTTATTGTAAGTAGATGGTGTCACTTGTTTTTCAGTTTGAACCTTATTTGTCAATTCTGGGAAAAGGAAAAGGTCCACTTAGCATCCTCTTATGGAACTCTTATAAAGCCATGGTATATGATGAGTTCCCTGAGCTAACTGTGTGGATTTGTTGGTAGACTTAAACATGGCCCATATGGCAGCGAAAGGGTTGGAAATCTCATGGAGTAGGTTGTGGAGTGAAGGAGGTGAAAATATGGAGATGGTATATTGAATAGGAGGGAGCTGTAGGATAAAGGCAATTTTTCTTTTGCTTGATTTTTAAATATTTATTTATTTATTGGTACTGGTGATTGAACCTAGGCCTTCGCTCATGCTAAGCACACACTGTCACTGAACCACACCCACAGCTCCTGTTTGATTGCTATCATTTAGGTAGAGGTCCTGTAGTGTAGTTTTGCATTGGTCATTAGAGAAATGATGATAACACAGTATCTGAGGTGGCAAAGAAGACTGCGAAGATGGGGCAAGAAGGGATCCAGAGCAGAAGAGAGATTGGCCTTTGATAGGAGCAAGGGTATTTCTTGCACTGTAATAGGAGGGAAGTCAGAGAAGATGGGGCTCCATGCTTGTGGTTTGTAGATCTGATGATGGGAAGATGTGGGACATCTCCCTGGATGGCTTCTATTCTTTCAGGGAAGCAGGAGAGTTGGTTAGCAGGTAATGTAAGAATGGGTGGGAAGGGGCAGTGAGAAACGTCTTTCTGTTATAGTACCTAAAATATTTGAAGCAAGATCAGATTCACTTAGATTCATCTGAAATGCCCAACAAGGTGCCAGAGATATTTATCACACATTATTTGGATAAAATAATTTTAATGATCCCAAACAAGAATTCTCCTTAGCTTTAAACCTCATTCTAAAATGTTATTATAGTTATTCAGAAAATTACATTTTTAAAAGCCCAAACTTGAAATTGCCAGTATTTTTATGTATCATTTGTAGGATAAAATAGCTTTATGATTCATACTAAAGCTATTTTTATTCTTAAGGGATTTTAATGACAAAAAGAAATGATTCTTTTCTGATTAAGAACTGAGTACATTCTAGGGGGCTTATTTTCTGAGAGGTTATTGATAGTGATACAGTTATCTTCTTCTTTTTTTAGGGGGCGGTACCAGGGATCGAACTCTGGACCCTGTAATTGCGAGGCAGTTTTGGTGCCACTAAGCTAAACCCCAAGCCCTATAATCATCTTCTTTTTGGAGCTTTCCTTCCCTGCCTCTAATCTTCTTGCTGACTGCTAGCACAAGGACCATATCAAGAAGTTCTCAGTACATGCAGCTGAATGTCTCTGTCCAGGACTATCCCTGATACTCAGAACCTAAAACACACTTTTGATTACCTTGGGAGGATTTCTATGAGTAACCTTGATTTATTCTCCCTCTTTTCTCTTTTTGTTCCATTTATTCTACTTGTAACCTTTGTTTGCTTGCAAGAGAAATGTAAGCCAAAACTTTCAAGTTTGAAAAGTATAAAAAGGAAACAAGTAAATAGGGAAGAAACATAAATACTGAATAAGACTGGGCAAGATGACAAAAAGGAATTACTGTGAAAATCTGGAAGGAGGCCAGGATGCAAAATGGTGCACTGTGTAGTTTACAGAAACTATTTAGTGTTCAGCATGCTTCAGTGATCACACAGAGAAAGCCAGATTTTGCTGGTTTGTTTGCTACCCTATAGTTAGCTATGGAAATTTGACATAGGTGATCTGTGTTTTCTGTCAGCAAAGTGATATAAATAAAAAGGACCATGGGGTCCTAGCCATGATTTGAATTGCTAGGAGAGAGCCCCTTGTGGCTAGAGTAGGAAATATTTCAGTTAAGACCTATCTTGGGGGATGTAGACATTTTTGTAAGGGACTTAAAAAGAAAAAAAAAATACTTTGCAAAGCTCTTTAAACTTATCATTTAGATATTTGTAATATTTAATTGTTTTGATAACACAAAGTACTATAATAAGGCTTTATCTGTATTGCTTCTCTGAGGAGTACAATGTAATTTGCAGCACTTCAGATTTTATCCATTTAATTCACATATCCACTAAAAAGTAGAAAGAACAGGAGCTTTCATGTTCATTTTGAGGATAGAAAGGAGAGGTACAGAGCAGGTAGGAAACTTATTGTGGTTTTATAGCTAGACAGGCTAGGCTTGTAATAGAATTTGGATATCTTATCTTGGGCTCAATTCAACAGTCCTGGTTTGAAAACATTCATTATTAAAGCTCTAAAACAAAACCTGCTATTTTGCAAGTGTCAAGTGATTTCTTTATTCAGGAAAAGATGGATTGAGAGACATAAAACTTACTCTTTGTTTCTCTGTGAAAAGAGGCTATTCCTAGATTCTCCAAGGGGAAAAAGTAGCTTTAAAAAAAATCTGGGGGAAGACAGTATGTTAGCGACTAAATCTTTAGATAAATGTTAATTATGCACATCTTAAAGGAAGCTACATAGAAAGCTACATACACTTATTTTGCAGGCTTTCCTGAAAATCATATAAAATGAAACCCCTTTCATAGTTGATTCTCTGACAATCTCCAGACTCTGCCTTTCCTCTTGGCTCCCTGGTATTTGTTCCAAGAGTGTCTGTAGAGCTAATAAATGCTTTCTTTTATTTTGAATTCAGCCCTTCAAGAAGAGGACTGCCAAAACTCAGATGATAGTTCATATTACAGTCACTACCTCTTATTTTAAAAGCTAGTAGAAGAAAGTCAGAAAAGTGGTAAAGTCCAAGGAAACACCATATAAGTTCAAGTATGGTGTTAAGGAATTGATGTTATGATAATGAATACGGCAAGAATATTCAGTATTGTTTGGGTGAATGTTAAAATATTGATCTGATAAATATTAAGATATTTTAAAAAGGATATACGAAATACAGAAAAGGATAATCATAGAAAAATTTTG